AGGGGATGACAGATGGCCACATACCTGTCATAGGCCATGGAGGTAAGAAGGAGACTATCAAGATCCCCCCAAAATAAGAAGAAGTACACCTGGGAAATGCATCCAGCATAGGAGATGGATTGATCCTGAGTATGCATATTCATGAGCATCTTTGGAGCTGTGACTGATGAAAAGGAGATGTCAGTGAAGGCCAAGTGGCTGAGGAAGAAGTACATGGGCGTGTGCAGGCGAGAGTCCAGCCTGATGAGCAGGATGATGAGCAGGTTGCCCAGCACCGTGGTCAGGTACATGCCCAGGAACAGGGCGAAGAACACGCCCTGCTGCCCTTGCGGGATGGGGAGCCCCAGGAGGAGGAACTCAGACACGCTGCTCTGATTATCCCCCCTCATGGTCTTCTTCTGTTTTGCTGTAGATGGAAAAAGAGATGGAGATGTGAAAGCATGTGAAACCTTAATGACTACAAGTAATAGAAACATGACAATTAGTGAGTACATGAATTTTAACCTGAATAACTCATAATTTTTGCCCACTAATGGGCTAATAATGGTCAGATATCAGGATCATATATGTCCACCTAGAAACCAAAGCAATCTCTTCTTGAAAAACCATGAACCATCAGAACGATAATCATGTCAGGTCAGGTTCAAATTTGAGGAGTCTAGGAATTCATGCCAGAAATCTGAGATTAGTAAATGAGGGGCAAGGCTAGGTCAGTAACCAGTTCTTAGAGTCACTACTAGAGGCCCTCCAAGGGGCCTGTTGTCCTTTCTTAACCTTCCCATGCCTCTCACACATGCTTTGGCTTTTTCTTGTATTTTTCTGTCTCCAGCAATATTTCATTAATTGTTCTGATACCATGCTTTATTTCCTTAGATTAGGTCAAGAATAGACAGCCCAGTGGGCTGTTCTGGGTCTTCCAGAAATCAGGATTTGAGGATTTGGTGGAAACATCACATATAACTCAAAGGCATTTAGAAGAAGCACCTATGTCGATAACATAATAAATCTAGCGAAATAATAATTACACAGCCATCAGACCTTCTTTTAAGATAATTCCTTCCCACTCCTCAAAATTTTCAGTCTAGCATCACTCTTTCTAAATGAATCATCATGGAATGTGGAGAAAAACATCTGTTCCTCTTCCAAAGTCCCACCTTATTCCCTCAGTTCTTACCAGATCACTCTTGTTCAAGTTCTCAGAACACCAGGAAATACTTCCCGCCCCCCCCCCAGTCATATCTTGGATCTGCCAAAGAATAAAGTTTGTAAGTGTCCACCTTTTTTACAGTTCCTATCCTGTGCTAGTGATTCATAACTGATATTTTTCTTGTCATATTCTAACACTTCGTACACTTTGCCAATACTATCATTTCTCTTTCTGACAGGTCAATAATTTTAGACTTGCCCATGTGATCACTCACAAAATAATAGTGAAAGAAAACAGCAAGATCTAAGTATTAAAAAGTAGAATCCACATATTTCCACAATGGGCTATCTGTATGATGGACATTTTGGTTGTTTCTCATATTCTTCTGTTTCTAACAATATTTCACTAATAACATTCTTCATATGCCATTTTCATATATATATATATATACACACACACACATATACATATATATCTGAAGGATAAAACTTAGAAATGGAATACGAAGATATGTATATTTACAATTTTGATAGATACTGTCTAATTATAAGAGGCTAAGGTGGTGAAGAAACCGTGTCTTATGTGTTCTTTACAATGAGTCCTGAAAAATAATAGCATGTCATGTGAAGATTATAAAAATGGTCATTCTAGTTAAGTGGAGAAGAGAGGGCTATGGTGTTTGAGGAACAGAAAATTCAGGAGCATATCAGCATGGGAACATTATGAGGTTGGAGATTTGTCTGGAAACCAGATTATGTAAGGTCTTTTCTGCCATAATGGAAAGTTTTTTTTCTATTCTCAGAGCAAGAGAACACTCATGAAAATGTTTAAGGAAAGGTATGAATGCAAACATTTAAATAGTATGCTGGCTCCTGGGCAGAGAACAGATGATAGCTAGGCAAGACTGTTAGCAGAAATAATAGAATGACATAGCAGTAGCTCAGGTACAAAAGTGATACCTGCTTACACCTGGATTATAGGAGAAGATGAAGATCATTACAGAATATGGATAAAATTGGAGTAAAAACCAGTAAGACTTAATTGGGGATGAATGATAAGCAAGAGGAAGTATGTTTTTCTATTCCTTGGAAAATTAGAGGATCAGTTTGAGATCAATTAGTCTACATGGAGCTGTCTGTTAAAATTTGGTCTGAAGTGCTTCTGGGACAGGCTAGAGACCAGTAACTTACATTGGACACACACAAACACACAAACACATGCAGTCACACTACTGAATAGTGAATTCCACCCCTACTCTGATATTGCCTTTTAGGTGATGAACACTTACACTTTCAGCTGCAGCATCAGAAAGTTCCACTATTTCTCTCTAGAAGACACACAATACAGTGAAGCAGGTAGAGTCCCTAAGGGTTTCAAAGATACATCACAACAGGTAGAAGAATTCTATCATATAAGATAGATATGTAGATACACACTTGTTTAACACTCTGAGCAATGGGTGTGGGTTCCAACTTAATAGATTATGGAGAAAACCCAGGTGGTGGTGGGTGGCCAACTCTACACCCCCGCCTCCAAATTAGAGACAAACTGGAATAATTGCTTTTTTGCCTTTAGTTCCCTTGAGGGGAAAACTGTTTGTTGATAGCAGGCACTTGGAGAGTTCATCCTTGGAGGCACAATGCTAATAACCACAACACAGCTACTAGGGATTTGGTGATTCCAAAAGGTTTTTGTCTTCTCCGTTGACATTAGGGAAAATGCTTTTCCGAGTTGATAACAAACGGAACTGGCAGTTGAGTGTGTTAGTGAATCTCTCTTGTTTCTGAACCCAGTGCTATTTCAAGAACACCAGAACCACGCTAATACTTTCACTTTCTGAACAAAAGGTTGAGGGGCATTATAGCCCACCATCACAATGGGACCCTGGGGAATGGACCATGGTGTCTATAAATCCTGGCCTCTTGCTGACATATGTAAATGTGCACACACACACACGCAGAGAAAGAGAGACAGAAACAGAGAGAGATGTGTACACATAAAAATTACACTGTAGAAATTTAGTGAAATCATAAGCATAAAAATCAGGCTATTCATTTCCTTTTAAGAGAAGGCAGACAGGCAGGATTTGAAGGAGCTCATCGGTAGATTCAAATGATGCTTTTAAATAATGGAAGTATAATATGCATACAGAAAAATTAGCATGCATTAAGTGCTGAGTGATGAATTCCAAAGAAATACATTCCTAAAATTATCAGCCAAATAGAGAAATAATCTTTCATCATGCCTCTCCCAGTAATTTCCTCCAGAGGTTAATCTCCTTGTATTTATCACCGCATATTACTCTTGTGTGCTTTTATTTTTACTCATAAAGGTGAAAAAATTAAACAGTCTACATTCTTCTTATATTTTATTATAATATATACTTTACATGCTCAGATATTACTGAGCTAGTCCATCCATTTGAACAAATACATATGAGTACACAAAGCATTGCCGTCATCCACAGTTTCTTTGAGCCCCTTCCCTTTGACATCCTCTAGGAGCCGCCAGTAATCTTTCCTTCTCTTTTTAAAAAAATTTCTTTATTGTTGAGAGTATTATATATGAATCCTTTCCCCCGCATTGACCTCTCCCCACTCATTCCCACCCCCTCAGCACATGCCCTCACCCCCCTACTGATTGTACCTATGGGTTATGCTTATGTGCATGCATACAAGTCCTTTGGTTGATCTCTCCCTCCTCTTCCCCGTACCCCATAGCAATAAGTGAAAACAGTTCTGGAGGTGGCTCCAGCTCTGGCACTGGAGCTGCTCTAGCTCTATAGCTGTGCTAGAGTGGGCGATGGAGCTAACTCTAGCTCTGAAACTGGCTCTAACTTAAAAGTTGTGCTAGTTCCAACTTGAATGGGTGGGTGAGCTGGTGGTACTGGATGTGACTCTTAAGTCTGGAGCTGGCTCTAGCTGTGGACTGACTCTAGATTTGGTGCTGGTGCTGAATCTGGCACGGTTGCTGGCTCTAGTTCTGGGACTGTTGATAGACTATATTTTACTAGGTGTACTGGTTAATAATGCGGATTTTTTTCACTAGATGGAGTTTCACATGTGTTGATATATATGCGATTTGATATGTATGCTGTTTTGTTTTATTGACACCAAGCTTCAAAACTTCATATGTCAAATTTTCTGAAGGTTTTAACATCATAGATATTTTTATGCTTAAAAATGTCGAATTTTGTGCCAAAAAAAGAGCATTTGCAGCAAGTTTTAATTCGTTACTTTATTTTGAAGAAAAGTGCTGCTGAATGTTATCGTATACTTCGGGAAGCTTATGATGTTCCTTCAGATTACCACTTGTTCTTATCCATGTCACATGCACTTCAAAACATACGAAGAAGTGGAAAATTGGGTCTCTGAATGGTTTGCCTCAAAACAAGAAAAGTTCTATTGGGACGGTATCCACAAATTACCTGAAAGATGGGGGAAATGTGTAGGTAGCGATGGACATTACTTTGAATGAAGCACTTTCGATGTTTCTCTTGAAATTATCATGTTTTCTTTGATTACAAAATCCGCCATTGTCAACCAGTACACCTAGTAAACTTGGCACTGAAAATGGAAGAGGAGAAAGGTTAACCAAGATGAATGGCTTTCCATTTGCCTTTGCAAAGACAGAAAAACATCATACTGCCTTTACGAGACCTCTCAGCCCAGACTCCGCCCCAGGAAGCCTTCTCACACTGCTATCTGCTGTCTGAGGCTACACGTTGTTCCTGGCCCAGCTCCAGACTCTGGCGGCTTTTCCAAGTGTGGCATAACCCACTCCCCTTGCCCCCTCGAATGCACACATTTATCAATCCCTCACTCTTCCTGTCCCTCAGGCTTTGCCTCAGTAGATTCTGGATACTCCAGCTGGGCCCCAAGAAGGTAGGTGTGGTGCTCCAGGTCCAATCTGGGCAGGCTGAGCTGCACATAAATCACCAAGGGCTTTATGTCAGTAAAGTGCAGAGGCTGACAGAAATGAGGTCCGGCATGGTGCCTAGGATGGAGGAGATGATGCTGAGTCAAAGGCCTGGCCTTTCACACATTTCTCCCACAACATCCCTGCAAGGGGCTGGGCTCCTGGGCCAGCTCCTGCCCATCCAGAGGCCAGCCTTCTACCCAGACCCCAAGTCTTGCTATCCTGGCAGTGGCTGACAGAGAGCCTCCATCACAGAGAACCCTTGGTAAAGGGTCTGACCACCCCTCGCCTTCTTCAGTAAGGCTGAGGCACTTCTCTGTTGGC